GTGTAGGCGAGCTCCTATCCTTAACCCAGAAGCTATCTCCAATTGATAACCACTTGCAAAGGAAAAATTCTTTTTCTCTACATCAGAGTCTTCTTAAGGGCAGGTCCCATCTCTAGTAGTATATAATAAACACAAAACAAACTCAAATGGTATTTTTGGAGGTTCTTTGTGTAATAAGGTTTTGTCGTGGCTTTTTTTTAACCTTACAAGTCTTTAGTATTTATATTATACTTTTAATTTTGTGTTTGTAAGAAATATCTCTGTGTGCAAACATGTATGTCTATGCATCTATCTTTCTAGTACTTTTTTTTGCTCTTCTGTTTTTATTTGTTTGTTTGATTGTTCATTTTGCTCCATTCCTGCTTGTTTGCTTTTCATCTTATTTTTATTTTTAGATATATGTTTGTTTTCTAGTGAGAGAAAGAAAGAGTGTAAATTTGGATGGGAGAGGAGGTAAGGAGGACCTGGGGGAGAAGAAATGATAATCAGAACATACTGTATGAAAAAAATTATTTTCAATAAGAGAAAAAAGACTAAAAAATGTTGTAGATTTGAGATTTCTATTTAAGACTACAGTTAGAAGCACAGCCCTGGAAATTGCATGGTATCAGAATTTCTAGGCAACTCTGATGTACACTCAAGCAAAAGAGCTACTGATTTACACAAACAAAAGCAACCTGTGTTACAAATACAAATTGAGCATATGTCCTTGTTATATGTTGGCACATCTTCTGGATATAGGCCCAGGAATGGTATAGATGGGTCCTCAGGTAATGCTATGTCTAATTTTCTAAGGAACTGCCAGTCTGATTTCCAGAGTGGTTGTACCAGCTTGCAATCCCACCAAGAATGGAGGAGTGTTCCTCTTTCTCCACATCCTCACCAGCCTCTGCTATCACCTGAGTTTTTGATCTTAGCCATTCTGACTGGTGTGAAGTGTAATCTTAGGGTTGTTTTTGGTTTGCATTTCCCTGATGACTAAGGATGTTGAACATTTCTTTAGGTGCTTCTCGGCCATTCGAGTTTCCTCAGTTGAGAATTCTTTGTTTAGCTCTGTATCCCATTTTTAATAGGGTTATTTGGTTGTCTGAAGCCTAATTTCTTGAGTTCTTTGTATATATTGGATATTAGCCCTCTATCCATGGCTCCAGCTGTATATGTAGGAGAGGATGTCCTTGTCAGGCATAGGTGGGAGAGAAGATCCTTGGTCCCATGAAGGCTGGATGCCCAGTGGGGCGAAATTCGAGGGTGGGGAGGTGGGAGTGGGTGGTTGGGTGGGGGCACATCCTCATAGAAGCAGGAGGAGGGGGGATGGGATAGGGGGTTCCTGGGTGGGGGAAATGGGGTAAGGGGATAACATCTGAAATGTAAATAAAATATCCAATAAAAAATAGAAAAAGAAATGAATAAAAAGATTCCTAGTTAAAAAAAATACAAATGTCCCCTGAACCTTTACCCAGCCAATACCCAGTTCTGAAAGATATCTGTATTCCCCCTGAATACCTACACTCCAGTGTCATTCCCTTCCCCACATCCTGCCTTTCTGTGTTTATAACCCCTGTGTGAATGAATTACGATTTGAGAAAAAATGAATTATTTATAAAAAAAACATAAAATAAAGAGAAAAACAAAAAAAAGCAAAACAAAAAAATACAAATGAAGAAATCTATCAATTACATACCCAGGCTCTTGACGCACAACTGTGGCATATTGTTAGTATTGCTTTTTAGCTTCTACTTGGAATAGAAGCTTCATATTATAAATATATAATTTTATTTTGAACAACATGATCAAAGCAAAATATTAGAGTTAAAATTTAGATGGAAATTAAAGGTGAGATTCCTGAGCAATACTTGAAATACATCTATATTAAAAAGGTGCTATTTAGTGTTAGAGAGATGGCTGTTTTGGTAAAATGTTTACAGTGAAAGCATGAGGATCTGAGGCCCAATTCCCAGCACCATGAAAAATGTTTGACACGACAGCATATTCCTGTAAACCCAGAGCTAGGGGATCAGAAAAAGGTAGATCCCTGAAAGCCACTAGCCAGCCAGTGGATCAGAAATGAACAGCGGTAAATTCAGTTAAATACTCTTGTCTCAAAACGTAAGGTGCACCTTGGGTCATATTTGCCTGGCATGGACCTCTTACCCCTACACATGTGTACATGCATATGTGAACTTGCTCACAACTATATACCATGTACACTCACATAAACAAAGGTGAGCAGTAAAGGACATGAGACTATAGGATATGTCACCAGATTCTATACTCAATACACAGTCAGCAATTTAAAACAGAGAATACAGCAGTGCTTGTATTTTATTTTCCACCCAAGATACTAAAAGATGCCAAACATTTTGATCAATTCAATCTGTATATAGAGTATCCTGTTCCAGTTCAATAACTCATATTCCATTTAACACCCAAGTGCATACAGAATACACGCTGTGAAGTATACTCTTTCTAATAAGTGACTGTCACTGAAGTGAATCTCATTGAACTTAAGGGTCCTATTCAGTTCATTCAATCAACAGAAACCTTGTCTAAGAACACAGCTTTTTAAATCAATTACTGCTACTTGATTTATCAGCCTTTCAAATTCTAATTATCTAATAGGAAACCCAACAGCATTTAAAGGAAATCTGCTTCTCTCTCAAAATAACATCCTACCTTGTCTTTCCAACTACCCATATATCATTAAGCATATCATTAACCTTAAGGTTTCTATTAGCATATATTAATTATAAAGTAAATAGGTTTTGACATTTTCACAATGCATGTCATGTAACTGTACATATTCACGTCAATACTTTATTGTCTTCTTCTTCTTTCTCCAGCATTCTTTTCCTTCCCCAATAGTCTCCTGTCTACATTCATATCTTTTGAAATATAAATTTTTCATATGAGAAGAGGATGTGATGTTTGCCTTTTGTTCCTTGTCCTTTTCTTCTATGTCCAAATAATAAAGGCATCTAGGATTCAAAACTAGTCTTCATTCCCATTGCCATAACTCACTTTGGCCCTCATTACTGCCAGTCTGGAAGCACACGTTATTTTTCTAACTAGCCAACCTTCATCTACTCTTACCTTCTGTTCTTAATTAAGTTTGGACAATTTCTGTTAAAATTACTCTTCATTAAAGCATAAGCATTAATCATCTAACTGCACTGCTCCAAAAAATTTGACGGACTTCCCACTGTATATAGAAAAAGCTAGAATACTTAGAATTCCATGTGAGAACCTCTGAGTGTTGTCCCCAATTTAACTTTTGTGGTTAAACTCTGTGATTTACCCTTGCATAATCATCATTCAAACCCGCATGTCTTACTCCCTTGGTCTCTTCACCAACATGATCTTTCTCCTGCCTTTCTTTTTGTTTAGAATGCTTATCTGGATTTTCATATACCAAATTCTCATTTGTTCTTCAAGATTTTGCCTAAATGTCACTTTGGGGAGGGGGAAGAATTGATGGGGTAAGGGTGGTCAAGGATACTACAAGAAGACCCACAGAGTCAACTAACCTGGGCTCATGAGGGCTCACAGAGACTGAACCACCAACCAAAAAACATGCAGGAGCTGGACCTAGGTCCCCTAGACATGTGTAACAGATGTACAGCTTGGTTTTCATGTGGGTCTCCTAACAATTGGAGTTGGGGCTGTCTCTGACTCTGTTGCCTGCCCTTGGATCCCCTTCCCCTAGCTAGGCTGCCTTTCCTGGCCTCAGTGGGAGAGGGTGCACTTAGATATGCACCTGCTGCCACTTGATGTGCCAGGGAGTTTTGGTACCCATGGGAGTCCCCTTCTCTGAGAGAATACAAGGGCATGATGGGGGAAAGGGTTTGTGAGGGTGGAGATAGAGAAGATGAGCAATCGGGGCTGCAATCAGGATTACAGTAAATAAATTAATGAAAAACAGAGAACAAAACAAACCTAAATACCAGATTAGTGACTAATAGGGGCTATGTTGAGAATGGATTATGGTGGGAAGCATTCTACAGGAGTACTAGATGTCTTATAAACCTTGGTTTTCTAAAGTCTGTCCCAAATGGCCTTGGCTGTAAGTTTTCATACCGTTTCAAGAGCATTTACTATTTCTTTGTCGATCTGAGTAAACCAGAAATAAATTTCTCATTAAGGAGGAATCTCATGTAGACCTCGGTGATAACTTTCCTAAGGCACTGCTGAAAGAGCTCCAGAGAATACCTCTCATCCTTATTTCTCCTTCTAAAACAGGAAAGTGTTAAACTTCAGCAAGGTCCCTCCTAACATGAGCATCCTGTCACTATTATGATGCATTTATACATGACTGCCCGATATGGTAATATCACTGAAAAGACTATGTGCTTGGGCTGTCTTTGCCAAAAATGGGTTGTGGTAAATAGTGGATACTTTGAACATGAAAATTACAGTGCCTTTCAAGTTTTAGCTGAAAGTACAATAATAGTGTAGTATTTTCACAAATATCACAATATAGTCAAATATTTTCCTATAAAATATTATATATATATAATATATATATATATTATATATAATACATACGTTTTATTTTCGAGACAGGGTTTCTTTGTGTAACGGCCCTGACTGTGCTATAACTCACTTTGGAGACCAGGCTGGCCTTTAACTTACAGAGATCTGCCTGCTTCTGCCTCCAGAGTGCTGGAATTAAAGACATGTGCTACCATACCTGGCACAAATGTTATATATTTTTAGACTTGAAAACTGATTGTGAAGATAGTAACACTGGTGTATAAATTTACAAAAATACAAGGTACCTTTCATAATAGATAAAAGGTATTTATAGCTATATATTAACTATATTCATATATATATATATACATATATATATAATAGGTATTTATGTTTCTAAGTTGTACTTTTTAAATCTGCTTTTAAAATTTATGTCTGAAAATTGGACATATGAAACCAAATATAAGCAATTATACTGTTAGATCTTTGATTACAATGATTGTGAGAAACAATTTTAGATTTTTACTTACCGACTGATGTGCTGCTATATATCCGTGGGCACTTTTGTCTGAAAAGTCACAATAAAGAAAGTTACCTTTGCTTCATAAATCCTACCTAAGAAACAGCTCATCATCAATTAGAAGGGAATTTCAGCATCAAATCTATGACAAGTGGCATGTTTCTGCTCTCTAAAATAACTCATATTAGGTCATAACCATATTTTCAGCAAGTTCCTTTATAAATCTTATTAAAGTCCTCATTTCGACTGGAATAAAGATACAGTATTTCCTCCTTTCTCTATATGCTAAATGATTTGCTCTACAAAGCCAACCCAGATGACTTTTTTCCAAAAATAAAATTGATCAACTAAATGAACTGTGTACATAAGAGTGAATGAATTCACAATTTGAGATTAACTTGGATACTTACACACCAACAAATGGAGTCACAACTTGAGATTAACAATGCCATTATAGTCTCTACCAATACTAAGACATTGATGGTTTCTTTTTTTTCCCCCTCAACTTGGGGACCTGGTGAAAATAACCTAATAAGCACAAAAGTTGTCCTACATTGTCATGACACAGGTGAATTAATATATTTCTAGAGATCATTGTTCATCCTTATGCTCTTACTTCATGACCATATTGAAGACCTGATGCTAAATGACTGACTAGATTCATACTCTTGAAGAGACAGAACTGTCATTGCTGATCACTGTTCCAACGAACAATTTCCAGCTAAAAACAAAGCTTCTAGCATTGATGTCAGATTCCCACCCCATCAGTAGGTTTACTTTGAAGCCATTTGCAGAAACTACTGAACCTGACATCGATATGCTATAGATAGTTTGGCTTCATCACGAGGCTCTGAGAACTGGCTGTTTGATACCATAGAATTTCTCTTACCTCCTGATGTGAAGCTCATGTACTTCTGATTGTTGACCGTTTCTTTGGAGTCGTAGAATTTGAGAACATCAAGAACAGCCTGTGGGTTCTTCTTCTGTTCCAGTTTTGTTATGTTGGACGTTTGGAGTAATCGTGCCCATTGCTCAGGAATTCCCTGTGGACAACCAAAGGGAAAGAATGGCTGCTCAGAACATTCATCAGAAGCATGTGCATGTTCCAGTAAAGTTCTGCACCAAGAAGCCCATGCTACCTGTTGGATTACACTTGGGAAACTGAAGTTACATTCTAGATTTAACGTTAGTAACTTAATAATGCAATCATTCTCTTCTCTAATCAAAACACATAGGTAAAACTAGGATCGAACTTAAAAAGGGTGGGTGAGAGTATGATTGTGATAAAAAACAAAAAGCGCATGAAAATCACCTCCATATTGACTCTGCTCATCCATGAAATGATGTTTACGGCTTAGCTTATTTTTTTTCTGGCGACTCAGGGCAGACATAGCAAGACTTCTCTAAATTTGTGCACAGCTTAGTATAGTGCAGATCAATGTTTTCTTTTTCTTTAATGTCTGGAGTAACATAAGCTCTTTTTTAGGTATCTTTTAAACAATATTCAAATAAAAGGAAAGCCTCACCCTTGGTCAGTTTCAACCTTTTGTTTACAAAATGTAATTTAGGGGCTCTAGGGCTTTATAATGAGGTCAAATTGGGAGGAAAGAAACTAGAATTTCGGAGGAGCAACGACCACTGAAACACTCAACAGTAACATTTATGCTGCTTTTGGGTGTTTTTCTTGCAGCTTTCTCCAGGGCATGCCTTCCTCCTTTCCTCCCCCTTGTCCTCCCTCCCTACTTCATTGGCCACATAGAAGTTGGGGACTATAAAACCATATCAAAGCCTTGTGAGAATTTGCAGTGAATAATATGAAGCACTTAGAACAGAGAGGGGGGAAATATTGAGAAAAATAACCAAGGAAAATCATTCAAAATTCCAGAGAGGTTAGCTTTACACCAAGCATTCAGTATTCTTTCCTGCACGTTCAACCTGCAGATGTCCCCAGTTTGTAATTATCCAACCTCCAAGAACAGCTTGGAGAGAGACATGGATACACTATTGCTGAAGTGCACCCAGACACAATTTAGATGACTTTGTCCTTTGAAGTCTCGGCAAAACAATGTGTGACGTGGGCCTCCAGAGTTTGGGAATGACAACAAAAAAGTGAGATAAGCCAAGCAACGACTCTACTGCACACACATGAACCTGCTACTGCAGTGCTATGACATCTCAAAGAAGCACTTTGATGCAAGCTTCTTTTGGGCCTGTGACGCACCTCTGGGAGCTTCCCTGGGCACATCTGTGAGCCATAGAGATCTGGCTGTAATGGACGTAAATAAAGAAAGAAAAGAAAGTTAAAACAGAATGTGGGACAACTTAGAAGGTGGGAAAAGATGAAACCAATGGGTCTGAATGGGGGAGGGTCCCTTTTAAAGTGGGGCAGTTATGGAAATAGGGGATTATTGACTAGACCAGGGACAGAATAGGATACAGATTTAAGAGAACAGAGAAAACAGCAGTGTTCCAAAGTTTGCATATATAATTACACTTTGGACCAGATGGTTCCTCCATAAATAGGCAACAGTAAGAATTACCATTAAGTGATTGGGGGAAATTACTAGAAAGCAGCAACAAGAATTTGGAGGGATAAAGGATGGCATCATGAAAAATTTCAATAATAACTTGTAAGTTGCTTTTATAATTGGGTCATTATGGAGAGCCAATGGTCATGGGATAAACTTACAAATTTCAGTTTCCAATTCTGATTCTCTAAGTTTCCATTTCATATTGGACATATGTGGCTAAAATTCAAAAGATGCCTATGTAACAATATTGAGCTTTATTCTTCTATATTTTATAGCTGAAGTCATGGGCAGCTTAAAGGAAATTATACTAAAGCCATCCTTACAAAGCCAGACACTATGCTTAGGTTTAGTATGCATTTATATCAGGGAAAGGGAAAACATTTCATTTCAATTCTTGCATGAATAATTTCCATTTAATGATATAGTCCCAAACCCCATATCCCACAAATAAGATCAGATATAAATTAACATATTTGTCTAATTTAAGATATTTCAAACATGCTTTGATCCAACTGCTTTGATTTGGGATACATGTCCTTGATTCCTGGCATTTATGGTTATTCCAAGCACAGTGAAACAACACTTTTACATGCATTCATCATCACGCAGTTTGATGCTAAAGCCTTAAGCCAAAAATTGGAACTCAGGAGCCCATGCATGATCCTAGTTCTGATTCTAAGTGCAATTAATAGCATTTGGTTAATACTGTAATGGCCAAAGGAGTTATTGAGTGTTACAAATACAGGTATGCATTGCACATAACCACTAAAGCAGACTTCACTGGCATGATCATTACCATAATCATTAGAATATTTATAGGTATTACACATTCCCATGGCCCTTCAAAACTTTTGGAAAAGTTGTGTGATAATGACTAGACAGCAAAAAATGCTGTCAGTTGAAGAAGTTCCTCCAGATAATGCTACTTACCATATGACTACAATGCTAACATAATTTCTCTTTTCTAAGGTGAGACAAACTAGTTTCTCAATGAGACCTGATTAGTGTAATTTGAGCATATGCCACAATGGCACATAATCAGAGTCATCTCATTACTCCAAATTGAGGAAATAATCTAAAAAGGTAGACAGCTAATGAAGACCTAAGGGTCTGAGCATCAGAAGCAGGAGCACATATCGATGCCTGTGTAAAATATACAATCACAAGTGGGTGTACATCAAGCTGGGGAGTGTCCAGTGTAGCCCAGGAGAATGGCAGCATGATATAACAGGCCAAGCATTTATCTTATCATAAGAAATGATAATTTATATCACTCATACCATTTTTCCCTCTGATTGACTTGAAGCGACCGTCACAGGTCTAGAGGTCTGGAAAGGGGAGTTCTGAAGTATTTGGGACAAAAATGGCAATATAATGGGTAAGGACTTGTAATAACTTAATACCCCAAATCTCACCTCCCATCCTAATTTTAGCTTTAGGGTCTAATTGTATGCCCATGTAGGTATACAAGGTTATATGAGCCAATTAGCCTTTAGGGTAATCACCAAGCAACATATCAAACTAGTGTTCAATAATTCAAAAGAGCAGACTCTTGTAAAACAACTTATCTATAGTTCAGCAAATTGCTCAAAATTCAACAATAATCAAATTTCACAGTATGATTTCCCCAACAGACAATAACCTAATGGTATCTATGGCAATTAAGATCCAATTTTAAATCCTAGCAATAGAAGTATTAAAGACTGATTATTTTTGTTAGTTTAAAAGTTAAATATGCTAGAATATTAATTGAAAACTGTAGGTTAAGATAATAAAGAAGGAAGAATTTGTGGTTATTTAAAAATGTATGTAGAATTAGCTGCTAAAGATCATCATGATGACAACAAAGTACTCCAAATTTCTAAATTTTTTGTCTGTCCGAAATGTCAATAAATTCCACTTAGTGGACTGTAAAAAGCCATTTTGTTTCAAATGAATTTTTAGAAGAGGATGCTGTTTGATTTGGTTGCATCAGGATTAAAATGGCCATCTACCACCTATTATCCTCACTCCACTCAGATTGGTCCATTGGGTTCTAATTCAGACCACAGTAGACAAGGCTTAGTTCTGCAGTCAGCAAGATGGTGGTGATTTAGTTTCCCTTTATTTCCATTCAGAATCCAGAAAGAATAAAGGGCTAAACATGAGGGAAACATGGCAAAAGATACCAAATAAGGCAGGAGAATAAAGTGTAAGTTAACCACAATGCTAAATGAGAGAACATTCATAGCAGAACCTCCAAAGGAAAAGAACAAGAAAAGAAATCCAGGAATAAAAGCAAATAAAACCATGAGAGGTTTAAACAGAAGAAAAGCATAGAGGAACTGAATAAAATGAAGCTCTTAAAGTAAAAGAGACAAGTTGCTTTTAGAGAAAACTATAAAGTTTGAGGGCTTTTCCTGTTTCAAATATCAGAAAATTAGCTAGACTTTCTTTGGATGTTTTTAAACACACAATGGTCAGATTATAAAAACTTTTTTTTAATCCAATGGGAAAAACAGTGGGTGGTAGGGTTGATAATCAGTTTATGGTTTCTAAATGTAGCCAAGAGAATGTTCTAGCAATGAAATAAAGGATAGCCTCAAAGTAAATGACATTTGAGTAACGTCTTTGACTAAGATAACAAAATTCATTAAATTGTAACTATCTCAATTTCAGTAGTCTCATTATTTTTGAACATTTTTTTCCTGCTTGCTACTGAGAACATAGAAATAATCAGCCTACAATAATTTATGCGGCCAAGACACTTACTCTGTTTCTATTTCATTCTTGCACTGCTTAATTCCAGAACTGAACAAATAAAATAATTTGGCTGTCAATTCACTAACGTAGCATAGTTCGTCAAATCAAATTGTCTTGCTTCTTTCCCCCTACTTAACCACATGACACAGTCCATTCACTAACCATTATGCTACAAGACAGGAAATTGGATTCTCCAACATCTATATTTTTTCTAGCTTAGCAAAACCAAGAGTTATTGTGGTGATTTTATCAAAGTTTTAGTTTTCTAAATTGATTGGGAGCTCTTTACTGTTTCAGAATGTTCATGTTGGTTGAGTTGCTTACTAGTATAGAACCATTAGCTGAAATATGGGGTCATATTTCTAGCAATATGCCTTCCCTCACTCATCTAATAAAGGGGATGACATTGTGTTTTTTGAGTACTGTAATTATTCAAAGAAGAAATAGATCTAGACCAGTCATATTCAGAGAATTCATGTTGATAATTATTATAGATGATCCATACATAATACATATGTAAAATAATCACATAACTACTAATACATATGTGATGTACAATTAACAATATTTCTTCCTAAAGCATGAGGATTGTGGTTTTGAATGTTTATAAAAATATACCTACCAATTATCTTTAAAAAATCTACATTTTTAAAATCAAAGGAGTGACTAGGAAAATTTTACAGAGTTTTGGTACTGTAGTTAGCCAATCTGTGTAATTCTGGTCCCACTGGAAAGCTTGACTTATATGAACTGCCTTCACTAGCCAAGGTGAATAAAGCATTATTTGATTCACTTCACATAATTAAGGAACAGGTTCAGGCAGGGTCTCCTTACCATAGCTACATTTTCTTTACCCTGGCAAATAAATATTTTCAAGTAAATTGAAAATTATGGGGTAATAAGACACTTGTGTTAGGATAGACAAAATAATTTTGTCAGTGTTGTTGCTCGTTTTCTATTTCTATGTATGACTGTCCAGGAAAAGTCCATCTTCAGACTGACAGTTTGGAATACAGCAATCCTTACTTGAAACCTATTTCGTACAAAAAATAGGTTTTCTTTTTCATGGCTTACAAATCAAAATAAGGAGCTTACTTACAGTGAACTCCCCGGTGACTGCATCAAAACCCACATGAATCGTATGCTCAAAGTCTGAAGGAAGAGAGATCTCTGGGCGTTCTTTCTCTTTCTTCTTATTGGCTAAAGACAAAATGTTAACATGTATTTATTTGAGGTATAGTTTTGGCTTCCATAAACTGCATCAGAAGGCTCATCAAAATGATTATAGAGAGACAACTGACTGATTGAAATATTAAGTTTAAAATTCAAGACTCGTCATTTTCAAGTATATATGTACCATGTATTTTAACCTCAGCAAAGACTCTATCGTTTATAGCAAGTTTACTTTAATAATTGATAATTATCCTTACTGAACAGTGCGAGGGGACTTCTTGGTAAGTCCAAATTGCTCTGCAGGTTTATATACCTTAGTGGCCATTTATAGTTCTTCAACTGTCAATTGTACTTGTTGAGAGAGGCAAATGGAGCAACCTCCCCTTGTTCTTGTTCCACTGAAGTTACTCCTGTGAACTGTCTTAGTTTCCATCATTTCTAATCTCCCATCCTTACCAGACATGGCTAACCAGACATCTCTCTATTTCCTTAACAATATGCTTTGCTTTTCTTCCTCATCAAGTAACCATTATTTCTTTGAGTACCACTGTGCTTGTTGTTTTACCTTTGATAATGATGCTTTTGTCCTTCTAAAGTTTTTCTCTACACATATTCTTTTCTCCTAGACACAAACCTTCCTCAAGGAACTCACTAATCTGGCTGACAGAGATAGATCAAAATAATGTAGTATCACATACTTTATAAGATTTGAGAAGAAGGCTTTTATTTAAGTAAAGAACAATAGAAAAATAAAAATATATAATTCATAATTTATCAAGATTCCCCAGAGCTCTGGAAGTGGTCCAGTTGGATGCAGAAGCCTGTTGAAGTCGTTTCATTCTTGTCAGAGAACCCAGGTCTGGATATCCTCTATAGAGCCCAATTCTACTTGAAGAATCTGAAGAAATCTATAAGACCTATGCTCATCAAAAAGTAGTAAAGATGTATACACAATTTTGCATTTTCTTACAGAAGTTCATAATTCCTCTGGATTCCAGTTGAAGAGCCCCTGTTATATGCCCCATGTCTTTATATCAACCTTCATCCATGGATTCTTTGCCAATAAATAAACTCTCCCCTCTTCTCTACTGGCTACACATTTATGACATACTGTCTAGATATAAATACTCCATGAGAACAAATCTCTATATAGATTTGACTCAAAGGGTCTTTCTAGAAAGTTGATTGATAGCTATGGATTTTTTTTTGTCTTCCTTTGAGGTCAAGTGTAAAAGGCAGTAAAGCCAAATTTGCTCCTCCTCTGTTTTTTGTTTTGTTTTGTTTTGTTTTTTATCTCAGGAATATGGTGCTGCTATCCAACTCGATTGGAGGACTAGCATAGTCTTAGACTCCTCTTTGGGGAGGAATGGAGCAAAGAAGAGATTATCCCGTCCCAATAGATGATTAGAAGAAATGATTATAAAATATACAAAAATGAGGAAATACAAAACATACTGACATTCATAGGACGGTATATCTGAGTCATTAAAAGTGTATTTTCCTTTGGTTTTTTGTTGTTGTTGTTGTTGTTGGTTGGTTTGTCATATAATAATTTGTTTGTTTTAGATTTATCTCATTTTATTATTATTCCTTAGATAGCTATTTGTTTTCTAAGGTATAGAAAAGTGGTGGATCCAGAATGGGAGGGGAAGGGAGGAACTGTAAAGGGTAGTACTAGAAGAAACCATAATCATGATATATTGTAGGAAAAAATACTATTTTCAATAAAAGAAAAAAACTAAAATAAAAAAGAGTTGTATATCTAAGTCATAATGTTGCCACATAACTACTAAGTAATCTTACATTGGCCTAGATAACAAAACCAATACTTTGGGAGCCATCTTAGATTTTACTGTGCTCATAATTTTTCATTTTATTCTATCTCCTGAAATAGTTTCAGAAGTTACTATCTTTGTCCAAGGCATTGGTATTTCCCTCCTGCCCCACTGTCTCCAATTTTGACCCACTGACTCATTTATTCTGTGACCCAATTCTATTCTTACTTTTAAGATTCTTATATGTTCAACTAATGACTTATGTATTAAAATTCACTCATTCAAACTTGGTATCTAAGAGATTTCATTACCTGATCACAGTTTACACATCTAGGTTCTACTGTTGCTATAGAACCCACTATCCACACTCATTTTACGCTTCCTGGATAGCCAGATTTTCTTTTACCTCGAAGCTTTTATTTGTGCTAGGCTATGACTTGGAACATTGAATTTATCACTGTCTCCATCTTCTGCCAGCTCTGTATGGATTACTCCAATTTGATTGTTATTTTTATTTTATTTTTGTTTATAGTGTTGGAGATCATATCAAAGCTTCAGAAACATTGGACACAGCACTTTACCAGTCCTTTTCTTGTTGAAGACTCTCTCTTGGACTTCCTCCACCCTATACTATTCTCAGTGTACAAACTTCAATGTCCCTCGTTTTATGGTCTCAGGGTACCACCTAGTATATATTCTAAGTTTATTAGTAAGCTTAGCACTTTCCAAATACTAGATTATTATATATTCTTTCTTTCTAGCTAAAATTCAAAACCCTTAACAACAATCTTCACCTTAACTCTTACATTCTCTAGCACCTGGATCGTGCCTGAATATTCAATAACCATCTTTTATGGAAGGCTCACCAGGAACAAATTCCATTCTCATTTAAACTATATACTCAGGTTTACACAGACAACAAAAGTCAGAACTAGTACTTGAACCTAATTCTCACTATATTCCAAGAACCTAAGCTTGTAATCCACATAACTGATGACTTCCTGGTTTCTCAAGAAAAAAAAAAAGCAACTATTGCTCTAACCCTGAGCAAATATGTAGAGATTTAATGGAGTTTAGATATCTGATTTTTATTTTACTTAACTTCTTAGGAATTCTACAATGAGTTTATCTCCCCTAAGAATTCTGGGAAACTTGGTCATGTATATTAAAACTCATGTCAACTTAGTTGGTGAGCAAAGATTCAACCTGGTTAGCTCAAAGTTTGCATTTGCAGGGAACAGAAATTCAAGTGACCATCACTTTCTATGTTTAGCCCCCGTATTCTGCCAGACCAGAGAGCAAAGCCACAGATTACTGGCTGCATCACAAATTGGAAATGCCATTTGGCTTTGGGACCATGTAAGTATGAATAAATTTTCCCGGTTACCTTAGGGCTAGCTAAACCTTCCAAAATCTAATATTTTGCCATCTATATCTATTCTATTAGCATACAAAGAAACAAAAGTCTCTCTTGTAATCTATTATCCCTTCTCTACACAATCCCAATATTCTGTATTCTCTCTAGCGCTAGACCTTAAACCATTAAGAAAAAACTGTCTTCTGCATTAAAGCTATTCATTAAATGCTCTCCTTATTTCTTGCCTCAGGCTCATAAATTTCTCTGTACATCACCATTATCTGGGGAAATCTATGCTAAAACTAATGTGTCACAGCCCTACCCTAGATGCGTGGATTGTCACTTATCTGATGAGAGTGAATGCTTCCTCAGATATCCTTTAGGAAGCTGTTTATTCGTTTCTATCCCATGTCCATTCCACCTGCCAGAATGATGTTATATTTTCTGTCATTTTATTCCAAAGTGTTTATTTGAGGTCAATAGTTCTGAACTTGCCTACAAATTACTCTCCTTTTGAGGTGATTGCCACACTCGCTTCCTAATCATGCCCTTGCATTCTTTGAAGAGTTTTGACTTCCTGGCTTCCATTCTAATCTCTATACTGGCATTACTCTGAAACAGGAGATGTCAGTGAGTAACTTCTTCATGCCCTTTCCTTTGAGGGATCCTTGACCTTCCTCAGATCTGTTCTGTGTCATTTCCTTTCTATTCTTTCAATCCACTCTCTACATCATCTTTTAAAGGAATGGTTCTCAATCAGGCTTTACACCAGAATACCATGGAGATTTATATACAATTTCAATGACTGATGTCTACTTAGAACTGTTAGAGATAAGGTATGGCTAGAGTGGAGAATGCCTAGTACTCTGGGTGGTTTTATTAGCCAGAATGACCTTTTCTCTGAAATATTCAATCCTGTATTCTCATGCTCTAAATCGAGCTTCCGTTTTTACTAATCTTAAAATTTTGTCAAGCCCATATTCCTATATCATTTCTACAATGTTGTCAAGAAACCCTACATTCTCTGGCTCTCTCTATTTTGAGGCAATTTTACCACCTCCCTGGCCTAAAGTTGATGTAAATGGCCCCTACTCTATAGTCTTAGGAACTCTCACCCCATGAGCTCTTCTAGCAATTGTCTGACAAAGCTCTACCCTGACTTAATACAACCCTAAACTCCCTCCATATCTATCCTAAAGTTTCTAAGGACTGCCAACTGGAGGAATTACATGACAGTATGGATTGTATTATTATTAAGATAACAAACCCTAGTCAGGACACTAATAATTTTTGGACGATTATTTTTTGTCTTCCTTCTTCAGTCTTTCCCTTTCCTCTGAAACTTTCCTTTAGGCTTAAAAGACATGTTGAGATTTCTCCATTCAAAAATAAATAAATAAATAAATAAATAAATAAACAAACTAACTCTTCAACTTCCTCATTCCCATAGCTTCCTCTTGTAATCACTCAGCACTTCCTTATGTGGGTTAAATGTCTACAAAAATCAATTTATACTTTATCTCTTACTTGTCCAACAGCTTTAATATCTCCCCGAAGGCACACATTACTCTCTCCTTTTCCCAAGTGCTGCTTTTCACATTATAACCACTGTCTTCTCAATAAGAACCAACATCATTGATCATAAATGTCTAGAAACTCCTCTACACAGCTCTTTCATAGAATCCAGTTCTATATTTTGGGTTTCTCCTTTTAAGGACTTATTATAAGAGGGTTTTCCTGTTGGTTGTTTAGATCACATTCACTACAAACTGCCTTAGGTCACCTCTCCTCATCATCTACTCTCCCTTGAGTCAACTCTTCAACACACCTCCTTTATTTCAGCATCTACACTATCGATAGGCTATAGGTACTTTCAGCTTTGCTTCAGCACAATC